CAAGGCTAGTGCTCTACCACTTGAGCCACAGTGCCACTTCCAGTTTTTCCTGCTTCTGTGGTCTGAGGAATCGAACCTAGGGCCTGCAAGGCAAGCATTCTACCACTGAGCCACCTTCCCAGCCCTATGAGACTCTTGTCTCTAATTAATCACCAAAAATCTGGAAGTAAATGAATGAGAGGATTTTCCCAATAGTAGGATAGGACTTCATAGGAACAGGCCAGATCCTGACCACTGGGACTCAAGTTCATGAGAAGGAGCCCCAGAAAACCACCCCAGCACCCTCTCATATATCAAGAACGTTACTACTTAGCTCCCATTGCACTCCATCTATGGTACATATTATGAAGGAGCAATAGAGAAAATAGTGAGTAAAGTTTAAAGAGAAAACAAAGCAAGCGAATTGCAATAGACTAAAAGGAAAAATATTACAGTAAAAGCTGCTGAGATTGTTTTGTATATATACATATATATAGTATATATATATATATATGTATATATATATATATTGTATATATTTCAGCTCTAGTTTTTATTTTTTAGGGAGGGAAGCCATCAATGGAGCAGAGAGTAGCCCACAAAGGGCCTGGTAAATTTCCATCTCCCTCTTTCTCCCCAACTCCTACTCAGTTCTTTGGCTGTTGCTAATGATTTGTTACTTATATTCCCAGATTGACTTTTCAAATCGGAATTTCAATCCTGGACAATAATGATTGACCAACAATGAGCCAAGCATTTCTCTGCAGCCTTGTTTTGTTTGACAACTAATTTACTTCTCATTATCTCTTTTTATGCCTTTTTCCTACCTGTAAAATGGGATGAGTAAATTTTATCTTTATAGAAGTGGAAAGACAGAGGATTGCAAAAATTAGTGATTTTGTAATCTTCTCAAGTGACTGTCTATAAACAAGTAATCTATTTTATCTGCTATGTAAAAGTATTTGCTTCTTGGCTCTAACACCTAACACAAAAACTTCAAAGCCCCAAGGCAAGAAAAATTAATTTTTGTTGTTTGCCTTGTTATCAAGATTGGGTGGCTTCAAAACTATGCTTATATGTCATTCCTGCACCCAGAATTGAGTCTTGTTTGGTGCCAGAGAAAGTCTCCTGTATACAGAAACATCTGTGTAATAACTACCAGGAAAAACTCTTATAACTACATGCAAAACATTCTCAGGGTCTTTGCTTCAGACACAGTACATTGAGAAGGAAGACAAAAAAATCTGTTTTAAGAATACCAGGAATTGATGATGTCTTTGGATAAAAGGAACGCCCCCAGGGTTTTGCAGAGAGAGAAAACATTCATGCTGCATCTTCAAAACAAAACAAAACAAAAATCTAGTAAATATGTCCAGGCAGCTTACAGAACAGGGCAGAACCCCTGAGAAGAGGCTGTCTTCTAAACACAGAACAGCCACATCAGTTGGCTTTTCTACCTGAGGTTTCTGACACAGATTTCTCATACTTTCAGAAGCTGCCATTAGATGACCCTATATAACCAACATTAAGAAAAAGTTAAATGGAAAAACGAGATGCACACCACAAAAACATGAGCACAGGAGGAACGCAATCATGTCTCCTCAGACACAAATTAAAAGAAGAAAGTACCGTGATGAAAGTGAAGCTTGAGTAATGCCATCAGTGCTATATTTTATGCTTTCATTTAAAAGACAAAAGGCAATCTGGCAACCTTACCGTGGTGAGAATCCATTTTTACTAGACTGTGGCATTACACAGCACAATCCCAAATACTTTGGTCTTATGAGGAACGACTCTCCCACTACAGTTAACCAGACTAATGTTTCTTTTAAAGGGTAGTTTATAAGCCCATTCAAAGGGTAATAGCATGTTGCCTTCCTTCAGGGTGACTTTCATCCTAATGGAAATGCTAGTGCATCCCAAAGTAAATAATCTGGGCTCCACTTAACTCAGAATGTAAAAACAGGTCTGGGCTTTTGATGACTAACATAAAGTCACAGCATGGGAAAAAAACCTATCACCCTCATCGCTGCCACATTTAGAGTTGAGACTTGGGGCCTCTGAGTCCTGTGGAGACAGATATTGAAGTAGATCAAGCATGCACTGAAAGAGGACATCCTTGGGCCTCCTTTACTCATTTTATTTTTTTTGTTATTGTGAAGGTGATGAGCAGAGGGGTTACAGTTACATCAGTCAAGTAATGAGTATATTTCTTATTGTACAGTGTCACATCTTCCCTCGTATTCTCCCATTTTTTTCCTCCCGTCTTTCTTCCCCACAAGTTGTGTAGTTCATTTTCAAAATAGTATCTAGTGAGTATCACTGATGCATTTACAGGTTATATACCACTCTTTTTAAAAAATCCTCTTTCCAAGTCCTGTTGTCCTTCAGAATATTTTCCACTTGTGGGTAAAGGAAAAACCAGTGGTCATACTGACTTCTATAGACTGAATGGCCCTTATCCAAAATGCTTAGGATCTCAAGTGTCTCATATTTTTTTCAGCTTTCTATATATTTGCATATACATAATGAGCTGCCTTAAAGGTGAAACCCACGTCTAAACATAAAATTTATTTGTGCTTCGTACACATCTTATACACATAACCTGGAGGTAACTTGCTACAACATTTTAAGTAATTTTTATGCATGAAACAGCTTGTAAAACAACAACCAGGAGTCAAGTGTGGAAATTTCTATTTGTGTCCCATAGGTGCTCAAAAAATTTTAAGACTTTCAGTAGGGATTCTCAAATCTGTGGTCCATGACCTCTGTGTTAATGCTTAGAGATTCCTGTGGATTTCTAGTTGTTTATCTCATCCTATTTTCTTGGTTGTTTCTCTTTTACTACCACGTCCTGGACATCATCAATTCTATTACCTCAGGTAACTTTTCCAACTTGGATTTCAAGAGCACAAACTGTAAGGGGTATGCCTCAGGAGACTGTAAGAACAAAGCTTTCCTTCATGGAAGTGTGCATACTGGATCCATGTATTGAAGGCTCTACTTCTGAGTGATGTGTCAGGAAGCCTGGTTAACATTACTTAATGGCTAAATACAAAAACATTTGCTCCAAAGCAGCTCTCTTTGCCTTATATTCTGGTCCCTTCATGTGGCCTGGGTGTTATGCTACAGACCCATGGAGATCAATATTTGGGCCATAAGCAGGAAACAACTTACATTCATATCAATTAATATTCTAGACAATCAAATTACAATGGTTCAAATTAGGACTTTTCAGCTCAATCAGGAGGCAAAATCACCAAGCTTTTACTTCCTGTACAATATTTAATAAAATTTGAGATATCCAATACATGATTGTAAAAATAGGGTCTGTATTAGACTATTTTTTCCCTAATATAGGTTAATGTTCGTGTTCTGAGCATGTTAAAGGTAAGCTACAATCTTTTGTAGGTTGTGTGTTAAATGCATTTCAACTTACATTTTCAAGTTACTGGGTTTATCAAAGCATTGTAATTCTCAATGCCATCCATATTGAAGTTCAAATGTAATTAAAATTAAAAGTTTAGTGCCTTAGTTGTAATGGCCGTATTTCAAATACTCAAGTCAACATGTGGCTTGAGGCTACCATTGTAGTGAGAACAGATATAAAATGTTTCTAGCACCTCAGAAATTTCTATTGAACAATGCCACAATAAACTTTGCCAACCATGGAAGGAATCGTGGTAGCCTTCTCATTCTGTCTTCTGCTTCCCCCAAGAGACTTCAAGATCTAAGGAGAGCACAGGTGAGGTGTCACCTCTGAACCTGGCTCCCACACCCAGCCCTGCAGGGAGGCCCATGTACCAAGTACTTGCTAGATGGTATGGATATTCCCTTCTCTTTGCTCCTCAAGCACAAACCTACCTCTGTAACCATTCTGTATTAGCAAAATTCCTTCCCCAAGAAAACTCTAACTGATTTTACTGACTTGAAAAGTAATGGAAACCTGATGCCATTATGCCTGAAATCCTAGCTGCTTGGTAGACTGAGATCTGAGGACCCAAGTCTGAAGCCAGCCCAAGCAGAAAAGTCTGAGAGATTCTATATCCAGTTAGCCAGCAAAAAAGTTAGACTGGAGGTCTGGTTCAAGTGATAGAGTACCAGCTGTGACCAAAAACTGAGTGAGAGGGAAGGCCCTGAATTAAGCCTCAGTATGGACACACACACACACACACACACACAAAATGGCTCATCTCCATGTTCTTACCCATATTCTTTGAAGAGCACTTTTTATTTGACTTGCAGACCGAATATTGAAGACCATATGTTAATATGCTAAACCTTGGCCCTGTAGTTAAAACATTGTCTAAACTTAAAGGTATATCTTTTTGTTTCAATAAAACTTGCATCTGGTGATTTTCAGTCTGCCTTGTCACTAACTTATTACTAGTTTCACATCATTAGATATTATTTGAAAACGTGATTTACATTATGTACTACATTGCATTTTTTGTCACTACATCTTAATTTAACTAGCCTCTCTGTATTTTGAGGTGCTTATATTGACTCCCATCAAAACAAAAGAGAAATACACGATTCCCATCCTCTGTACATATCTCCAATAATTTTCTTAGTAAAAATACTTGTGATTGCAATGGTATAGACAAAGACATAGTGCTGGCTTATAACTGTCTCTTCAAAAAGACCGGAGTGGTTGAAGCAAACATCTTGTCTTGCCCTTGGTATCCTGCCAGGCTATGACAAAGAGCCTGTCACATTGGTACACTAGACTAACAGGAGGAAAGAATAGTTGGTGATGAAAAGAATTCCACCAAATCCCAAGAGTCTCCTCTTCTGCCTGGGACAGAAAATCAGAACATCCTGTCCCCTGTAGATGTCTACCTTGCCTTTTTAGATGAAGAGGAAAAAAGTTGCCTTTGAAGAGAAAGTTTACCAAGGAGATGCAGGCTCCCACAGAGCTGGGTGACAAACCCTGTTGCTGCTCAGCAAAGCCCTCAAGGGGCCCCTCCCCTGCCAGTATAAAGGCAAGGTGCTGGGGCAGCTGCAGCTGGCACTCAGCCTCCAGAGCACTGGCAAGGCCCTGGCACACACACACACCATGACGAATGAAGTGCAAGTTTTGCTGGCCCCGCGGAAAGGGGGGCGTCCTCCTGCAGGTAGGCTCCCACTGGTCCTCTGGCCTACAGATGGCTCCAGCAAATGCCTCTGCCTCATCAAAGCCCACAGAACCTGCTCTCCACCCCCAGCTGAGGTTCTCCACCAGCCACGATTTCCTTTTCAGCCTGATTTCCTCCAGTGTCTTTCATCCTTCTTACCTGGTGCATAGAGCCACCTGGGGATTTTGTCAGGCCACAGTGCTACACTTGCCTGCCTGTAGACTGCTATGACACAACTACACCTGGATGATTCCCTACCTCCCCCTTGAAGTCCCAGCTCTCAGACTGTCTGCCCACAATTTCTATATCTCATCTGCCCATGTGCCAAGGCAAAGCAGCTCCTCCACAGAAAATAGCACCCCATCCCTCTCTCCTCAGGTTTTGGGGTTGGGTAGAGTATCTAGGACGTAGTTTGCCTGTCAAACTGAGAAGCATTTTTTAAACAAACACAAGGATGGGACTCAGGGGCGATGGTAGGTAGCTATCAAGGGGTTTGGCAAAGCCTCCACAAATAGAATTTTTCTAAAAAATGCTCTTGGTATCAGTTCTATTGCACTTCAGCATATGTTCACATAGATTGGCTGAGGTGTACCTGTCTATTTTTAGTGTTTTCTTCTTTGAACTGTCTTCCTTCTTTTTTTCCTTAAACAGGATCTCAAAAGCAGGACTGTTTGGTGCCTGCCTTTCTCTACTTAAAAACATTGAGTTATTTGTATAATTCTGTGCACCTCCAAGTCCAGGTTCAGTATCTCTACTGCAGATGTGACAGCAGCTGGGGAGAGGTACAACCTTCTCAAAGCGCAAAGCCTGACCTAGTTTCAGGGCTTCTGGTGGGCAGTACAATGGAAGGGCGCTGTGGCCTGATTTTCTTGGGCAGTCTACTGACATGTTTGTAATTGCATTTAATCACATTTAACATTATCTACATTTAAAGGTAATGATGATACAACTTAATGGTAGGGAACTAGATGTGTAAATTATTAGAAGGGAAGCTCAGCACACTTATTTTAAGAAGGGGGGAAAAAGACAATGTTCTCTTCCAACCACTTCTACCCCCAATCCTTCATAACATGATCAAGCGAAAATCTGATTTGCTCCATTATATTTCTACACAAGAAACACAGAGATAACTTAAACCAAATGAAAGTTTGAAACCACCAGGAACTTTCTGTCCCCACCATTAATGATTGCTAATTACTCTGTGTACATAGCACACCATGACTCCATCAAGCATGTCACGATGCCTTTGGCATGACAATTAATTATTATAAACTGTGACACTACAGATAAGAGGTTTGGGATAATTAGAATGGAGATGAAGGCAGACTTTTGCCTCCCCACTGAGCCCAAGGGAACAAAGAAGCTTCACCCTTCAGTTGGTTTCACTGCATTTTTTAAGTTTGAACCAGTTTGCAATAACACTAAATTTTATTTATGGAGTAAAAATATGTAGATGCTAACATATTATCTTTACCCAATTTTTACAAGCAAAATACAGATCTGAGAAATGGAAAGCCAATCTGGTGTAATGGAAAACATGTGCTATGACTTTTGGAATCACACAGAATGAGATTGAATGTTGCCCTACATCTCTGAGCCTGAATTTTCTTTTTTCTTTTCTTCTTTCTTCCTTTCCTTTCCTTTCCCTCCCTCCCTCTCTCCCTCCCTTCCTTCCTTCCTTCCTTCCTTCTTCTTTCCTTCTTCTTTCTTTCTTTCTTTCTTTCTTTCTTTCTTTCTTTCTTTCTTTCTTTTTCTTTCTTTCTTTCTTTCTTTGCCTGGATGCTGTCCCTCAGCTCTTCAGCTCAAGGCTGGCTCTCTGCCACTTGAGCAACAGCATCACTTCTGGTTTTCTGGTGGTTTATTAGAGATAAGAGTCTCACAGACTTTGCTGCCCCAGCTGGCTTTGAACTGTGATCCTCAGATCTCAGACTCCTAAGTAGCTAAGATTACAGGCGTGAGCCACTAGTGCCTAGCTAAGCCTTAATTTTTTGTTTTTTGTTTTGTTTTGTTTTTGGGGGGGTCTGGTTGTGGGGCCTGAACCCTGGGCCTGGGCGCTGTCCCTCAGCTCTTCAGCTCAAGGCTAGAGCTCTACCACTTGAGCCACAACGCCACTTCTGGCTTTTTTCATTTTGCTTATGTGGTGCTGAGGAATCGAACCCAGGGCCTCAGGCATGCAAGGCAAGCGTTCTACCACTAAGCCATCTTCCCAGCCCCTGAGCCTTAATTTTTCTAGCTTCCAAAAGGAGATATAAATAATATCACTATAGTATGGTTGTTATCATGATTATTAGGGCCAATAGGTTGTTTTATTGTTGTTTGAGTGTTTTTATTTTTAGCATAAAATAGGTCAATCTGAGGTTTGAACTCTCACTCACATGGCTTGCTTGGCTAACACTATACCATTTGAGTCATGCCTCCAGCCTGGCCTTTTGCTAGTTAATTAGAAGTGGAGTCTCTCAAATTTCCTCCTCTCTCTCTCCTCTCTCTCCTCTCTATTATCGCTCCTCTCTCTTTTTTCTCCCCCTCCCCAGTCTCCTCCCTTCCCCAGCTGGATATGAACCGAAGAACTCAGCCTTCTGAGTAGCTAGGATTACAAGCATGGGCACCTGGACTTAGCAAAAGTAATAGCTTATGTAAAGTGTCTGTTACATGAACATTGACCCTTTAAAAATGCAGGCCTATTAAAATACCCTGCAGTCAAAAATGGTGTTCCCCCATTTCAATACCTCCTGAGGTTGGAGTTGCATTAGGCCTTGCTACAAACATCAGGGCAGCAAGAAATTACAGTGGAAATTATACTTGTGCCTGCTGTATCATCATTAAAAATGAAGCTACTCAGAAGTCAGCCAACTGTAACTCTCCCACCTACGTGTGGAGTGCTTAGAGGTTTTTCTTTCATGTGTATTAGTGTAATATATTGCACCTCTGTTAGTCCTAGTTATACATTTATGCTGTGAAACAAGACTACATTAAACATAAGGTGGCCTGGGCTCTAGGAAGGATAGCTTTGAATTGCCTGCTTTTTTGATTTACCTCATTCTAAGTTTTAATAAGAACCCCATTGCATGAACAGCAGTACCAAAAATGTGAGAGTAGAAGGAGATCCAGATGAGATAAACACAGATGAACAGAAAGATTAGCAGTCCTTCATCAATTTGTCTATATTCCCTGTGCTTCTAAAATTGATTTACAATTGAATCCAAGCCTTAAGGGGCTAACACTGAATCCTTAGAGAAACTTTCTGGCTCATTAGAGAATGGAAAATTTTGGGAGAAGAGGTTTGCCCAACTGTGAAAATTAATACAAAACCTGTTCAATGACCGGGACTACATAAGGGCCAGTGTCATTTTAAAAACAAAAACAAAATAAAGGCTTGATTCTCTCAATTCTATCATCTCAATTTATGCGAGTTGAAGGGGACTGACTTATGAAGTCAAAGAGATAGATTATGAGATGCAAAGTCCAAAACATCACAGGAGATGAGTGTTTGACTGTAGGAAAAGCTGCTATTTTCTCAGTGCTGACTGGGGACCTGGCATAGCACAGGCATTCTAGATATGGCAGCAGCCCTACAGATGGATGACAGAAAAGCAAACTGAGTCTCGATGGGATTGAGGGACCAAAGCCATACAGCCCTGGCGCCATCGGAACTGGGATTGAAAAAAAAAGTTGGGCCAAGTACTAGTGGTTTATACCTGTACTGTTAGCTACTCAGGAGGCTGAGATCTGAAGATCACAGTTCAAAGCCAGCCTGGGCTGACAAATCTGGGACTTTATTTCCAATGATCCGCAAAAAGCCAGAAGTGGAGTTGTGGCTCAAGTTGTAGAGTGCAATCTTAAAGGAAAAGTGAGAGCATGAGGCTCTGAGTTCAAGACCCCTCCCCCCGCCAAAAAAATAAAAGAAAGTGAGTTAGTTTGGTGCCATTGCCCTCTTGCTTAAAAACACCAACTTGTTCTGCAATCTTTTCTTGTTGAAGGTTTTGTTATTGGATCTTGACTGACTGAAAACTGAAAATTTACTGATAAATCAACTGTGAACACCAAGTAGGCATTTTGCAAACATTTGCCTTTTAATTTTAAAATCTTCAAATAGAAATTCTTGATCATAGGCAGAAGGTGTTGCACCAACTTTTGTGTCTGCTTTTCCATAGAGATAGGGAAGAAAAAAAATTCTAATTTTTCTTGTAGGCTTCTTTTAATCTTGACTACTCTCTACCTCTCCTACCCCTCCCCTCAAAAAAAAATACAAACTATCTGGAAAAATCTTAATTCGAAAAATTATTATATAGAATTCAAAACTACAAAGCTTATATTCAAAAATTTATAAGCCACAAACTCTACCACAAGTTCAAATTTTATACAAAGGTAGGGAAGCAGAGTGTTAATTTCTCCCTCCTAAATTTGTTTCTAGTTTCAAACACTCTACCATTGAGCTACATTTCTACCTCAAATTTTGCTTTTTTAATGAAGCTATCTAAAAGAACACCTTTTATACTTTATTTTCTAAATCATCTTATTTATTGAAAGGTCCTAAAGTCTTAAGTATTTATACTCAAATTTTACTTTTCCCACTAAAATGTTAAACAGTTCATATTTTACTTTGCTCAACTCTAGCTGATCTTTCTACAAAGTCTCAAGAAACATGGAGTTATGAAATGATTACAATTTAAAATATTTTATTTTGGATACAAGGAGATCCTTTGAGCCAGACTTATTTGTTACAAACAAAATGGACCAGAACGTGATTGTGTTGTGTTATAAATGATGGCTCATCTAGATCCTGGGAAACCAGTATGACCAATGTTCCCAAAGGAGCTTTGAAGATGACCTCCCACAAACTGGTTCCATCTGATGGAATTACCCCAGGCAGTGAGAGCCATAATCCATAATTCAGTGAGCACATCACACTGAGGATTTTACTTTCTGCTTTTCTCTACTGTATGTGGATGCGAGAGGAGGTTATCTCCTAGAACAGAGTTGGTAAAAAGAACTGTAATCTGGAAATCCAAGGTATGGTTTCCTTATGCTTCCTACAGCACTAAGTTATCATCCACAGCCCCAAAACAGAGAAGAGTTAAAGGCTGCTGTATGGTAGAAAGAATCTCCTTAGGAAGGAGCTTTAATTCCTACCCTCACATTACTCTGTTTTATTGTTCTTAAAAAAACTGATCTTAAGAACTGGGCACTGGTGTCTTATGCCTGTCATCCTAGCTACTCAGGAGGTTGAGATCTGAGGATGGCAATTTGAAGCCAGCCCTGGAAAGAAAGTCCATGAGACTCTTATCTCTAAGTGATCACAGAAAAGGCTAGAAGTGATGATGTGGCTCAAGTGGTAGAGTGCTAGCCTGGAGCAAAAGGAGCTCAGGAACATTGCCCAGGTCCAGAGGTCTAGTCCCAGGACTGACCAAAAAAAAAAAAGGATGTTAAGAGTTGTGCACTGGTGTCTGATGCCTGTAATTCTAGTTATTCAGGAGGCTAAGATCTGAGGACATAGTTCAAAGCCAACCCAGGAAGGAAAGTGAAACTCTTATTTCCAATTGATTAGCAAAAATGCCAAAAGTAAAACTGTGATTCAAGTGGTAGAGCACTAGCCTTAGGCCAAAACAGTCAGGGATAACACCTAGGGCCTGAGTTCAAGCTCCAGGACAAGCACACACAAAAAATTAATCTTAAGATCCATTGTACTCATAACCTGACTTATGAAATTGAAACCTCTTTGTGAATTACTTAATACTTTAAAAATGATCTATTATTATGTTTATGTGGGCTTTTAATCTTTCAGCATTTATTTCTCTGCTAAGAATTCGATCCCAAAGAGGAGAGTGATGGATTTTCTTTTGGAGATAGATACAAAGAGTTAGAATCACAGAAAAGACTTTATCATAAAGATTATATAGCTCAACTTCTACCAAATTCTGTACAATTCTCTGGTGTTCATGACAGGTAGACTTCTTTCCCTCACTTTAATATATCAAGAACAAGTAACTCATTATTGTGCTAGGCAATACATTTCACATTGAATAACACTACAAATGTCTGCAATGCACAAACATTACCAACAAAATAAAGAAAAAGCAGTACAATAAAATATTTTATATTTGCAATGAATCTCACAGACAAATAGCTCCTATAAATCAATAAGATAAAGATGGAGAAAAGACCAATGGGAAAAAAGACCAAAGGCTTGAAACAGTTCATAGAAATGACTCCCAAACAAGCTCAACCTCTAATAACAAATGAGATACCATATTTTATTTTTATTTCTTAGTGGTACTGGGGTTCAAATTTAGGGCCTCACACTGGTTAGACAAGCACAGTATCACATTAGGCCATGCCCCTGGATTTTTTTGCTCTCATTATTATTCAAACATAGTCTCAGGTTTTGCCTAAACCACAATCCTCCTATTTATAATCCCTGCATAGATAGAAAGATAGATATGTACCACCACAGTTAGATTTTTATTGGATAAGATAAGGTCATATGAACGTTTTTCCCAGGCTAGCCTCAAATTGGAGTTCTCCTAATTGATCTCAGTCTCACAAGTAACTAGGATTTCAAGTGTGATCTACCATGTCCAGCCAAGATGCCCCTCTTTTCTTTAACTTAGTAGTTGACAAAATGAAATGTGTTCTAGCTCATAGTTACTAGTAATCTTGAAGAATGATTACTATCACCTTAATTAATGAGATTATAAACTGGTACAAGCTCTGCAGGAGACAATTTGGTGAGATTTAACAAAATTCCAACTGTACACACTCATGGCTGGGAGACAAGACTCCAGTGGTATAGCACTTGCCTAGCAAGTGAGGGACTCTGGGTTTAAACTCCAGCACTGTCAAAAACAAAAACGAAAAACTCCCAAATGCACATACTCTTAATAGCTAACAAGATCATTTCTAGGAATTAATTCCACAAATATATATTTGTGGATACATGTGTGGATATATCTATATATGGCACAAATTATGTATAACCAATGCAAGATTGTTGTGCTAGCAATAAATCAAAAGCATGAAATGTTCAACATTAGCACACTGGTTAGGTAAACAGAGAGAAAGTTTGTATAATGGAATTCTAAAATAGACACTAAAATGAAAGACACAGATATAAATACATAAATATACAACTTTCTCCAATATACAAGGCTAACTGAAAAAATAAAGAATATGTAGGAAAAATATTATTATCTGTTACAATTTTCTAAAAATGACAGAGGCTGGAAGTATGGCTGCAAAAAGTGGTAGAAATCCTTGCATAGCTAGCATAAGACTCTGAGTTCAAATCCTAGTACAAGAAGGAAGAGGAAGGGAAGTAAGGAGGGAGGACAGGAGAAAGAAAGAAGGTGGAAAAAGAATATTTGTGAAGACATTAAAAACCTATAAGATTAGCAATATCTGTGAGATGATGTGGGAGGCTGGGAAATAATGGCCAGAGGAGCCTGTAAATCTTTTTATGCCTTTTGAATTGTATTCAAAAATCTTCCTTCATGAATTCCAAAAGGAGTAGATAATAATTTTCAAAAAAAACTATGATAAAGTCAATTCACAAAGGCATTGAGAAATAGGTTTTCTTTATTTCAGAAACTTTTGGGAATTAGTTGCAGAAAATTGTCCATGTGGCATTTCCATAAAAAGAATGAACAAGTTCAAACAAATCAATGTCCATTTAGCTGTTTCTCATTTCAGCTTGTCAGATTTTAGATGTATGATTTTCCTGGGAACCAAAAAAAGTATTTGCTTTGACTTGCAACCTGAAATGGGTTGTTCTTTTTCAAAAGTTGATTTCATCTGACATGGTTAAACACTTGAATTACTGTTAGGTCATCTGTAGCTTAATTAACACTAATTGATCTCTTGAATGGCAGAATTATTAATTCAATTTAATTACTTATTATAAGCTCTGAGCTCAAACACACAAAAGTTTGGGATCTGGGATGGAAGGTTGGCACCCGGTGGAATTTGAAGCACCTCTGGTGAATTGCACGGCTCATCTCTCATCTCTCAGAATCTAGCTTTTGGAAGCTTTGGTTGAAAAAAATGCAAACCATGCAAAAGCTTTAATCTTGTGGGAAAACAGAAGGTCACATTGTGATTGTGAAATGCTATCATGAAGAATGTAATTGGCTTGATCACAAAAAAAAAAAAAAAAAAAAACGGGTTTACGGTGGAAAAACCTATGGGCACATGTTAATTCTTCTCTCCAAATCTAAGATAAAACCTGCTTTTTCACCCTCGGCTCCACCTCTCTGAGTATAAACCAGCAAACCTCAATCTTTCCTCTCACCCACTTTTTTATGGTATTTTAGGTAAAAGTTTCAAGCTTTAAAATAGAAACCTGGAAAATATTTTCAAAGCTGACATCAGACCTTAAATGGCAATCCTGTTCTAATTTCTATATGGATCTGTATTTGTTTTATAGTAAAAGCTGGAGGAATGCGAATTTCCAAAAAGCAAGAAATGGGCATCTTGGAGAGACACAACAAAAAAGCAGGATTAGAGAAATCAAGGTAGGAATTGCTTAATCTCTTCTCCCTGAACACCTTGACGAGTTTTAAATGGCTCTGCTTTCAAAGTTATTTTAGAGCAAACCAAGGTCCTAGATGTACTTGGGCAGCCAGCCAAGGGTGGAGTGGCAGTGAGTGTCTTGATAAGTATTGACTTGAGTTACCACCCAGAGGACTCTCTGGGTCCCACCATGACCCCTACCTATCCCCTAGCTCCTGCAGTGAACCCAGCTACCTCCTACTTGGAAAACATGGTTCTAAATGTATCCAAGCCTGATGCACACCTGTTTGTCCCTTTTTCCTTTCCCTATAGTGTCCCTGGTCTAGCCTTGTTTTCATAACATGCTTTCTGCTGAAGCAGATCTCCTAAATTAAAAACAAACGCTTTTTCTCCTGTTGTTGTTTTGAATGTATTACTCAATTATTTAAGAAATAACAGCCACTATATTTGGCAGACACACAGCTACTGAAAGGTGCACAGCTAACTGAAGCTGGTTTCTCCCTGATCCTCTGCCAGGACCTGAACGCATTGGCTATTCCTAGAGCCAAGCCAAGAGGATGGGCTGGATCCCTTGCACAAATGGTCCAACCACTCACTCCAAGCCTTGGCTAAGGAAACCTGTGCATCTAAAGAGAAATAAGCATACAAAAAAGTAGCCTAATGAGGGGTTCTTGAAAGACCGAATTCAAGATGGTTTATATAGATTGGTGGATGAGTGATTCAAAAAAGTGGATAAGGGAGGATGGGATGGGAAGGGGAAACAAAGGAGGAGGCTGCAAAGCTTGATAAGAAATGTACTCATTATCTTGCCCATGTAATTGTAACCCCTCGGTACAATATATTCACAATAAAAAAAAGAGTTGATAAACAGATGTTCAAGGCACTTTAAATCTCAGAGAATCTCTGCAATATTAAATTATTTGTAAATGACTTTTCAAGTTTTCTTTCCAATTCCTGGTGAGCAATTTTTACAGAATTCCCCATCCCTCCATTGTTAGAATGAAATACTGATTTTCTCACAATGGCAGATAGTGGTTTGATTCTTCTACTATCAGAAAATAGCCAGCCCATGATGAAAGAGCGAGGGGTGCACAGTATTTATCTTCTGATCCAGCATCTTGGGCAGTTCCTAAAACAGCAAATGCACATTGTAAAGGGGACCAGACTGTTGTTGACTTGCAAGCTGGTTAATTTAGGAAGTCTGTTCTGTTTCTAAAGCTCCACTCAAGCGTAAGCCTTGTTTATTGTCACACCAGTTAACATGTCTGGGCCAGAGTCTCAGGCACTAAAGAATCTGGGCTTGGAAATGACTTCTAGCAGGCAGCCAATGGACAGGGTCATTCATTTCTCTGCACCTCAGAAAAATGGGGACTCATTGTGAATTCAAACAGTGCAGGGGAGTTGGCTGGAGAGTAATAAAGCAGTGATTGGAACCTTCTTTTAAAAACTCATTGTTTTTTAGTAGTTATTAGAAAGAACTTAAACAGCAAACGGCAAGAAAGAACAGTCTCTTCTGCTCTAATTGCCAGGGGCCGATTCAAATTATAGGAGACTTGAAGAATAGAGAATGGGTGAAAGGATTTTTAAAGAATAACCAAAAATGACAAATACAAAATGGCCCAGCACCTTGGAGCTGTGACTGCATTGACTCCATGGTAAATCCTCCTGTGCTATTCACATCTCCTACTCTGGTGTGTGCTCTGTTTTCGTGGACGAGCACTTCTTAGAGAACAGCTTTTTTAATATATGTATGTATATGTGTGTGTGTGTTATATATTCCATTTATATTTGATATATATGGAATATAATATATTGTGGAATATATTATCTATGGAATATATGTATACATAATATATGTATATATAATGTATATGTATATATAATATACATATATTCCTTATATAATATATCTATACATATATTTTCCATATATATACATAGAGAGAGAGAGAATACATTTCTTTCTTTCTTTCTTTTTTTGGGTCCGGTCGTGGGGCCTGAACTCTGGGCCTGGGCATTGTCCTTCAGCTCTTCAGCTCAAGGCTAGTGCTCTACCACTTGAGCCACAGCACCACTTCTGGCTTTTTTCTTTTTGCTTATGTGGTACTGAGGAATCGAACCCAGGGCCTCAGGCATGCAAGGCAAGCACTCTACCACTGAGCCACCTTCCCAGCCCCAGAGAGAGAATACATTTCTAAGCATCATCTATGTCTACTCCCTAATAACTTCTGCTACCCAATATAAACTGTCCAGGAAAAAATATGCCAAGCACATTTTCCTTCAAGAAATTGTACCTCAGGCTTGACCCTGATTGAAAATTTCCTACAAAACAACTTGACCTGAGAGAATAAAGCTATGTTACAGATGGTTCATTTTATGAAATCTAAAATCAGAACTAACCTATGGGCTCTGAGTCAGAATAGTGTGAGCTTTTGGTGAGCAGTTGATTTGCTAAGTGGTTCCAGTTTATGACTATTTACCTAGCTATGCACTTCAATGGGAAAAAAAACAAAACCATAATAGTAATTTGGCCTACAATGCTCATGTAGCACATGAATACACAGAAACAGAATGTTCATCTTCTAGGTATGATTGAGCAGAGTGAAACTTGAAGGTCAAGGAGACAGCCCTCCGTATAAATCATTTAGTGTGAGCATTTTATTATTGTGTATGTGTGCATGTGCGGGCACACATGCATGCATGCACACACACACACACACACACACACACACACACACACACACACATGCATGTACCAGCACAGGGGCTTGAAAACAGGGTATGGTTGCTGTCCATTAGCTTTTGCTCCCAAAACTACCACTCTATCATTGAGCCACAGTTCCACTTCTAGCTTTCTATTGATTAATTGGATTTGCGTCTGGTGGACTTTCCTGGCCCCAATTGACTTGCCAGAGACCCTCAGATCTCAGCTTCCTAAGCATCCAGGATTGCAGGTATGAACCTCCAGCTATCGAAAATTTTTGAGTCTTATTTGAAGTTTCTTTTCATCTTCACAGTGCCATTGCAAATGTTGCCAAAATACAGATGTTGGATGCTTTGAATGACACACTGGACAAGGTAAGTCATGTGCAGGTGACTTATACAGTGCTTTACTGAGGTATTCACCCAACAGATCGGGCGGTGGGGGGGCATGGACCACCCAAAATTTTCCCACCCCAGAGATTTGATTCCCTTGTGAAAAACTTACTGCATTTGGTCAGAGAAACAGTATCCATTTGAAAAATATGATAGGAAATAAAGTGAGAATCATACTAAATTGGCAAAAATTTTCCCTCTCAAATATTTCTGGGAAACACTAAAAAAGACAGCCAGTCTATGTTGGAAATTCAACAGTTTTTGACGTCCCTTTCACCCAATATTCCCATAAGGAAATGTTTTATTTAAGGCAAGGATGGCTAAAGAAGATTGCATGATTTAAGGCTACAGAAATCCTGGACATGACTTGGGTTTATCCAGTAAAGTTTGCTTATAAAGATAGTTGACCAGTACTATTTTTACTTCTATATTTAGAAATTTACCAAGTTAGCAGTATAGTTTTGGGGGATTCTTTTGTTTTTGTTTTTGGTAAGTCATGGGGCTTGAACTAAGGGCTTGGGTGCTGTCTCTGAACTCTTTTGCTCAAGGCTAGTGCTCTACCACTTTGATCCACAGTGGCTTTTCTGTGGTTAATTGGAGATAAAAGTCTCATAGACTTCCCTGCTTAGGCTGGCTTTCAACCACAAATCCTCAGATCTCAGCCTCCTGAGTAGCTAGGATTATAGGCGTGAGCCACCAGTTCCTGGCTAGCAGTTTGGTGTTTTAGAGTCAATAGTTTATTCCTAAATTTTGTAGACAAGTATAGTGAGGGCTCTCACTCCATGGCAAGTACATTCAAGGTAATAAAGAACCTCTCTTCTGCTCCCCCTACATTCATTGAGGGGGCAGGACAGGGTAGCCTCTGTAGAAGGGCGTAAGGCTGCTAGAGTGGAGTGTAAAACTCTTCTCTCTCTCTCTCTCTCTCTCTCTCTCTCAGTATTTCTGAGATTTAATCACTTAGTCTGAAATAAACAGGTGAATAGAAGAAAGGGCATACAGATTTATTGTAGACACAGAGGCATCACAGGGAAGAAAAGTGAGGATTAAACAACCCAATGAGACTTAGAGGCTGCCACCTTCAGCTTTATTGGAGAAAGGGAGAGGAGGGGAGGAACATGAACAATTTAAAGTGGAAATGCCGCTCTAATCTTCCTTCCTGTGATATGCATACATTCCCTTGTTTGTTGATTAATCTGAGGAAGGAATTTGTCTAGAAGATCTGGCCACTGGGTAGGTAACAGTGGGACTTGAGAGAAAGCTCCTTTCTACAGCCGCTGCTTCCCAGGCTCTTGCCAAAGTCCTAAACTTAGAGTATTGTTTTGTCAAAAGGAAGGGTCTGAGAATCATCAGTTCGACCTTATAAAAACATAGGAGAAGAAACTCATATGTTTAGGGTCCCCACTCAGTACTGTTAACAATGTAACACGACTCTGAGCAAGTTGTCTCTCCTGTGCTTCAGTTTCCTCATTTGTAAAGCAGGGTAAAGAAGAAAATGGAGCTTGAAGGGCTGCGGGGTGAAGTAAATGTGTTCCCAGACACGAAGCTCTTTGGAGAGTGTGAGGTACAGAGTGATCTCTGTGCACTCTCTGTGAAGGCTAGTTGTATGACAATGAAATGAACAAGTTTGTCTAAAGCACATGACTGTACAGGATGAGTGCAAGAGTAAGCTCTTGATGGTGAGTTATAGCTACAGTCTTCTAAAATGGTTTGGTTCTCCCATTTAAATTTTGGGGTGAAGTCACAAATGACTCTCAGCCTCCTTGGCTTTGGAAGCCAGGCTGATTAATGATCCCCACCAAGGTGATACAGCTGCCACCATGGTAGTTACACTTCTATTCCTGTTCCCTGAACCCCTTGCCCTCAGGGCAATAACTACCACCACTACTACCACCACCCCCGCTCATTTGTAACTACAATTGTGTAGAAGAGACCCTTCACCTAGGAATATATGTGTTGAACAAAAGAACCTTTCACTAATTACTGATCATTTTATATAACAAGTGTAATGCTAGATTACATTGTGTTCTTATTAACAGATAGGTGTATGTCTGTGGCATGGAAGGTTCTTTTCTTTTGCATTAAAAAGCTATCATTTATTTCAGAGATTAAAAAGAGTAATCTCTTCCCCAGTAATTAATAAGTCATAATAAGTGATGTAAATGATAAGCTATGTTTAGAAACCCTAAGAGACTATTAATGGCATGCTATTGCAAATATTTTTTACAGCAGCTATACCTATTTAAAGCCAGTACGCACCACAATCAGACTGTAGCTAAGGGTGTGAAGCCTCCTGGCTCTGACAGCAGGTTCTCATATCTGCTTAGTACCTAGGCTGGCTCTGTCACTCACTAGCTATGTATCTGTGGGAAGTTTTCTTCTCTTTCCTCATCAGTACATGCATCTTCTTCATAAGAAAAGTGTGTGATAGTAAAATGAAGTCATATACTAAATACATGCAAAGTACCTAGTACAGCAAGCCTTCAGGCAGTGTTCACTTCTGTTCCCGGGCATACATCCAGCCTTCTATCATTTGGAATCCCAAGCAAAGGATAAGAAGCCAGAAGCAAAAATAAGCTCCAAGATTACCATAAGCGACTGTCTCAAATATGGAAGTTAATGTGCTAAGAAAAAAAAGAGAAAAATCTGCCTTGAATACATAGTTCAACCTATAGCAAAGAGTGATTCATAATAAAAGTCTGGGGTTGAAACCCACCAACTAATAGATCTGTGAGGATTAGTGGCTATCACGCATGGGGACAGGAGAGGGGAGGGGGGAATGATGGCATGGTCCTATGTGTAGAGGGGGGCCATAGAAAAGCACTCATGAAAACTCAGTAAGCAGAATACTAAGATAGGCAGTTCACTATGCGTGAATTTGACCTTGATTTTAAAAAATGAAACAATATGCCATATAACCTATAGACTAGCACCATAAAATCAAAAGATATAAATGCTGAAATAGAAATATTACTTGAAGCTGGGCATTAGTGGCTCATGCCTGTAATCCTCGCTATCTAAGAGGCTGAGATTTTAGGATTGAGGTTCGAAGCCAACCTGGGCAGGAAAGTCCATGAAAAAAACAGAAGTGGAGTTTGGGCTCAAAGTGGTAGGTCACTAGCCTTGAGGAAAAGGCTTAGCACCCGGGCCCTGAGTTCAAGTCCCACAACTGGAAAACAAAAACACTTCTTGGTAGATTTCCCCTGTATTACAGTGTCCCTCCCCTCCCATACTATTTATTGTCATGGAGCCCTAACAATAAAAAATTGATCAGAAGAAATATAGGGTATAGAGTAGTAGAATTGAGGTCATTTGTGAACATTTATTCCCATCCTCCACTGAAGTTACATCTAGCCCCTAGATCCATGTTATTTCTGATACTGATTGCAAGAATTTAGGGGTCTAAGTCAACCTCCAATCCATAGGGGCACATCAACTATTCAATCACAGCAGCAAATTCTCTCTGTATGCTATTCATCTCTGCATATCCCACTTGAAAGCTATCTTAAGGCTTAAGATTGAGACTGAAAACAATTCCCAGAGGATTGAGATTATACAAATCTAAATAAGAGTCTGAACTTCTCTTTCTCACTATTTCCTTGCTGTTACCTTATTTCTCCACATAGACTTCTTTCTCCCACCCCACCCTACTTCTCCTTTCCCACCTATCTCTCCAGCCAGTGCTTCTCATCTCTCCTGTCCCAAGTAAAAGTATTCCTGTTGTCCAGTGTTTAATCACATGCTATGATATTCCTGCACAGAAGGTAATATGAAATGCAAAAGCTCCTTGGATTGAAAGTTTTGCACATCTGATCTTAAACCAAGTTCCACCCACTACTTAAAGGTCATTTGACCTTTTAGAAGTCATGATATTCCTCTGAGATTTGTGGTTGCTCATTTACTTTAAAAAAAATTACAGCTGAGGGCTGGGAAGGTGGCTCAGTGGTAGAGTGCTTGCCTTGCATGCTCGAGGCCCTGGGTTCGATTCCTCAGCACCACATAAGCAAAAAGAAAAAAGCCAGAAGTGGCACTGTGGCTCAAGTGGTAGAGCGCTAGCCTTGAGCTGAAGAGCTGAGGGACAGCGCCCCGGCCCAGAGTTCAGGCCCCATGACTGGACACACACAAAAAAAATTACAGCCGAGAGTGAAAGAGCATGACACTGCAAAATATTAAATCTATGAACAGTCATGGAAGTTAAATTTGGCAATAAGTGTGACACTTCTCATCACTAAAAGTATTCAGTTAAAACATTAGTAATGGAGTTGGATTACTGGGAAGGTGGAATGTTGGTGCCTGGTTAAAGTTCAGACCTTTTTTTTTTTTTTTAAACTCGCCAGACTTTGGGTCACCGCTAGCCAAAGTCAGTAAGAAGCCCGTGAAATTGAATCTTGGAGAAGAAAAAACTTATCAAAGGCATCTACAAATTTTAAAAGGTTCTTCTTGTTCTGTAGATGAACATCAGTGTAGGAGTATCCTTGAATTTCATTGATGTGAACTGAATGTTTGAAGCATGTTGCTTAACAGGGTGCGGAAATTTATGGGCCAACTTTGGAGTTGGAAATTAGCTCCCCTGAAAGATGAACGAAGAGCTGGAGACTGCGCTAGCTACCCAACTTCAGGTTCTAAAACAAATACCTTTATCACACTTCTTTCACTTTTCCTCTGAAGCTAAAAATGTACCTTCTGAGATCCACAGGCGCTATACTCAACAATGAAAGTAAATCCTCAGTGTGGAATTTTCCTGTGTTCTGCCTTTTGTTGTTGTTGTTGTCATTGGATTGTTTTGTGGATTTGCTTTTCAAGACTGACTCACTCTGTAGTCCAACTGGTTTCCTACTTGCTATCCTTCAGTTTCCCAAGTGCTGGGATTACAGGTATGTGCCACAAGGCCTGGCATGCTTTCCATTTTTAATATGTTGCCCCAGTGAGGAAGACACAGTAAGACAGAATGGACCTATATTTCCATAGTGGGTTTCATTACTTTCTCTTATTCTAATGAATCAGACAAGAAACACATTTCATTGTACAAGCACTATCATTTTACAAATCTAACAACAAAAATTCTAGAGCTTCGCCAAAATTTCCAGATTAAAACACAGCCCATTGTAGGTTGTACTCTGGAAAGCTGTTTCTATTTATTTCTAGTTCAGACTTCAAAGTAAAATTTATCTGTCTCCATTGATATAAACTTCATAGCAAAGAATTGCTGCACTTGGTGATTGACCTAAATGCACTTTGCAGTTTCATCAACCCTTCGTAGACTGTCCCCCAAACAACCCCCATTGCTTCTACATTAGCATGGTCCTGATTGACAGGAATTGACTCTTCTTCTGTTTTCATATTATCAAGAGTTGCTGTGAAACTCGGCTGCAGGATCCACAGAATCTATATACTTGTAGCTTAATAATCATGGGCAATTTCTCTAACTTTGTGAATTGATCTGGGAAAATTTGGGAAGAAAAAATAAATCAACAGGACTGAGAAGGAAGTGGAAATAATTCTGGCAAACAATCCACAGGCCCCACGGACTAACTCAGTCTTCCAATTATTCCAATTTGTAATATTTCTCTTGTAAGAAGCAGTTGAGCAGTGCTTTTAGAACTTTAGTTGCATTCCTTAGTTAAAACATAATTTGTAACATTTATGCATCACTGATGGGCGGCGCATAAAATGGTACAGATGCTACAGAAAACAAGATAGTACTTCCTCAAAAAATAAATAAACCATAGAGCTGCCAGATGATAGCTTAGTTCTTCTTCTGGATATACACAAAGGAAATGAAAATAGGGACTGAAGCAGATATGTGTGTACCAGTGTTTATTACAGCATCATTCAGCCAAAAAGTGAAAATAGCCCCCAAGCTTCTGTGCGTGGATGAATGGATAAACAAAGAGTGGCATATACTACAATGAAATGTCATTCAGCCTTGAAATGGAAGGGAACTATGACACATACCATACCCGGAGTGAACCGTAAGTGTACTCTATGTAAGCGAAATAAGCCAGACATATAAATAAACATCTTACGAATCCACTGCTTTGGGAAACCTAGAACAGTCAGACTGATAGAGGCAGTAAGTTGAATGGCAGTTGCTAGAGACTTGGGAGAAAAAGGGCTTAGAACTATTGTATAATGTTGTATAATGAATATACATATAGTTCCTTAGTGGAGTTTACAGTAGATTCTTTTATTCTAATGAATCAGACAAGAAACACATTTCATTGTACAAGCACTATCATTTTACCAAGTCTAAAATCAAAAACTCCAGGTTTTCCCCCAAAATTGCCAGATTAAAACACAACTCACTATAGGTTGTACTCTGGAAAGCTGTTTCTATTTATTTCTAGTTCAGATTGGGATGATAAAGTTTCCAAGTTTCATATTGTGATGATAAAAGTTCTGGAGATAGATGGTGATAATGGTAGCAAATCACTGTGAATTGTGTTTACATTAATGCAATAGACATGTACATATACATAAAAATAGACAATTCCATGTTACATTCCACTATAACTTTTTAAATGATGAAGACAATGTAACCTCTAAATTCTGGGGATTATCTGGAGATGATCAAATAATAATAAGTGTTAAATAAGCAGTAAGTATGGACTAATACGCTAACATACTATTTTTTACTGTTTCCTTTCCTAACTCCACCTATCATTTCTCATCCCTAAAGAACAATCTGTGGCTTTCTCTATTGTAGTCCCTATATATCCTTTTGTCTCACAGCTTAGCTATTTGCCCCATCTCTGTTAGACCACACTTACTTGTTTCCTTTCTTATGCTCTTTTCCCTTACATTTGACCATAAGTAACTTACCAGATTGTTTTTCCCTGCATGGAATTTCTTGAATGTGATTTAAAACTTGCCTGAACTATGCCATCTGTTTTGGTTGAAACAACAACAACAAAAACCCCACCTAGTCTGGAAGCATGTGAAAAGGAAGACAAGGCAAAACACTCTATCCTTCTCACACTGTAAAATTCACCATCCACACCAAGGAGTATTGTCCTGACCAAAAAAGGTCCCCAGCTCCTTTTCAGACTCTAAAGCAGTGCACATAACCAATATCTGAATTATGCTGTTCTATTGGGCTAGAATGTCAGCAGAGATCATCCTTGAGTTTATTTAGTATATGACTTATACCTACTTATTGTAAAAGAAAACAAACAAAAGTAAGGAAATAATGATAAGTATAACAAAGACTAAGAATTACTCAAGCTGCTATGCCCCAGAGATAATCATTGATAACACTATAATGTGTTTAATTTTTTTGAGATGGAGAAGAAAAGACATTTTGGAGTCAGGTTTCACATGAAAGAGACTGCTATGTGCTCCTACCTTGGGCTAGGATATTTTAGAAGAGATGTAAAGCATGTATGTTTTCCATGGCTTAGAAAAGTCCAAACAAACCATAAACAATGTGATGCTTGGGGTCATGAGCAGTTTATCTCTTCCTTTGATTTAATTTGAGTGTTAGAGCCAGGCCATCTAAGTTCAATAGTGATTAATTAGCTTCCAAGTGAACCCTTTCTTTGCTGGCTTGGTGAGATATCCTGAGGTACTCTCAGGCAGTATTGATGAACTTGGAAATCAAAAACTAGAATAGACCCAAAAGGTCATTGGGTTTAAACTGTCCTAGGAAAACTACGTGTGCAACATTGAGTCTCAGCTGGACAGCTGCCTCATTGTAAGCTGCCCTTAGTGCAAATTCCTTGTGGTCTCTTGGTTTCACAGGAAATTTATTCTCTAACAGTCTCGGGCTATGTTCATTTAAATCCATTTAAGTCTTCTTCATAGATGTCTTGGGTAACTTTTGTTACCCAGAGCCATTTACTGTTTCTCAGTTTTCTTTCATCAAGCTATTTAGATCAAATAATATGGAATGATCTTTATACCACTTTAACAGAAAACATTGCGATGTCAAATGCTTTGACATCACAAACAGTGTCACTCTTCCAGAGGCTCTTTCTTTCTGATCTTTTGACAGTTAAAGAGATTTCTCTGCCTCAAGATTTTGCCCAGTGTCCCGATGGCTTTCTTAGGATATAGTGACCAATAAATGCATACTGAATGGCTTCAAAATTGCTATAATTTCACAGAGCACTGCAGATGTAAATTACTATTTTCTACTTTTTAAACTTTTCAAAACATGATAGTTGGACATGCATATAGGTGTATATATTAAAATCTGTATGCATATTATAATGTTATATATGAATATGTGCATATGTATGTGTATGTCATGCACTGGTTTTGTTTTGGGGTGGTTGGGGTTTTTTGAGTCAGGATCTTGCCCAGGCTGGTACTCAAACTCATGAGTGCACCAACATGCCAGGCTCTATAGATCTATATCTTATAATTTGAAATTTTAAAGACATGTTAATGAGGTAAGTGCCAGTTTAACACATGCTTCTGCGGGTTCAAAACAGGATGTGGTATGGAAAAAAAAGGTATTATCAAAGAAATAAACAAACCAGTGAGATTTCCCTGACCAACTACATTGTTTTCTACTACTTTAATATTTCATGACAAAAAATTCAATATGCTTATTTCTTCTTCCCTTCTCACCTTTTAGCTCAACCATAAATTTCCAGCTACAGTGCACAAGGCACATCAAAAACCTACACCTGCTCTGGAGAAGGTCGCTCCGCTGAAAAGGATCTACATTATTCAGCAGCCTCGAAAATGTTAAGCCAGGACATAAAATACAGCCGTCTGCCAGCTGCCTCAAGCATCTGACAGCTTAGCAAAAAGACCAAAACTTCTGTAGGCCTAGTATACTTGCTTGGTAAATAAGACAGCTTTTGTATCTTCCCTTCTGACTTTAGATAATAAAGCATCCCAGACTGTAACTCCAGTGCATTCTGTGCCCCTTCTCAGTGCATGCCAGGGTCCAATGGATGATTACATACGTAATTCTATAGAGTAAGTGAGGAATCTTTGCCAGCATACTGAACCTGCATTAGTCCATCCATACTGTATTCTCCTTGCAGGCCACATGTAGAGAGCAGCACACTGAGCTTTGCAAAATGGGGTGGTGGAAAAAAAGAGCCAGTTGCTCTGGATTTTCAGTTTTTACTTCTTCATTCTGATGTGAGATTCTAGTCCTTTGGGATTGTATAGTATAATATAATATGGCTTACCATGAGAGAATTCTGTGGTGATATGGCCACACATGCAGGAAGGCAAAGAGGCTGCCTATCCCAACTCAGTTGTAGAGCCCTGCACAGATGTGCTGTAGCTCAGGTCAGGAGCTCCTGAAGGTGAGTCAAGACAATGGGAGAGGGGAGTCAATGGGCTGAGGACTCACAGGTAGATACTCTTATTTAGCTCATGTCGATTCAACAAACTCTATTCTAAGCAGCATGATACAAAGATAAATAAGGCACTATTTCTGCCAACAGAACATCTTTGACCAAAGGGATAAAAGCTTGCCAACAAATCAATAGAGAGAGTTTAGATATGGTTTTGGGTGGGATCAGAGAATGGGGATCATGTGAAGTGAAGGAAAAAGATGTGGTGGCTGTGTAAAAACAATAACTCATATGCAGATTTTATGAACTTGGCTTATTTTATTATGACACTTTCAAGAATTCCCAAAGGTTGGGTCAATATAATCATGTGGCCAATCTCACTTTAGCTATAGGTAGTAAGTATCCAGTCTCTCTCCTGCCTCCTTCTCTCCTTCTAGATATGTTTGGAGAAAATTACAGTAATAATTTCATCTAAAAACGCTTCATATGTTATCTGTAAAAGATAAGCTCTCAGCTGGGTGCCAGTGGCTCACGCTTGTAATCCTAGCTACTCGGGAGGCTGAGATCTGAGAATTTCAGTTCGAAGCCAGTCAAGGCAGAAAAGTCCCCTTGAGATTCTCCAATCAGCCACTCAAAAACCAGAAGTAGCACTATGGTTCAAACCGGTAGTGCACTAGCCTTGAGCAAAAGAGCTCAGAGACAGCACCGAAGCTCTGAGTTCAAGCCCTATGACCAACAGCAACAACAACAAAAAGATAAGCCCTCAAAGAATCTCTCTCTCTCTCAACTGACTTTTCACAAATATTATGTAGTGTTTGTGTAAACTATCAAGATTCTTTAACTAAAGATGTAGACTGCCATTGCTATACTAGTTACAAAAGCCAAAGCAAACCAACAAACGAAAGACAAACACTAAGATAGGTAAGGTAATTCACGCCTTTAATTCTTACTACTTGAGAAGGCAGAGACTGGGAAAATAGCAGTTTGAGGCCAGCTACACATAAAAGTTTATGAGATTCCACCTCAACCAATGGCAGAGCACCAACCTAGCAAGCACAAGGCCCAGAGTTCAAACCCCAGTGTCAATAGCAACAATAATAATAATTAATAATAATGTGGAAGTTTGAAAGCTCATGAAAGTAAACTGTACTGAGAAAAAAGAGAGCACTAATTGTTCAAGTTTAAGAACCACTGGGGGGTGGGGAGGGTAGAAAACCCTGGCTATGATGGCACAGACCTTAATCCCAGGACTTGAGAGGCTAAAGCAAGAGGATCACAAGGTTGAGGCCAGCCTGGACTACATAGTGAACTCTTGTCCCAAAGAGGAAAAATAATAATTACTACTCGAAGGTATGTATTTAGCAGTCTGTGAATATAACCATTTGAATACAATAAGATCAAAGGAATCATAACTCAAAACGCTAGAGCTCATAAGACACAAAGTAAAAGACTGTCTTATTTCTATTCATGCAACAGTAAGGATTGAACTTAATTTCTTGAAATGTAGGATCAGAAGGATAGAAGGTCTTCTCCCTTTAAATTTTTCATAATAATGAAACATTCTTCAAATATCACAAAGAGAGCTTTCTGAGAGAATATAGCTAGAGGCTTTCAAGAATAAAATAGATATTGCTGCAGAAGCAGTTAAGAGAGCACAGAGAGATAACGAAGGTGAAGACACCAGAGCAGAACCGGCGAAATCAAAGAACAGATGAAACAGAATGGAGGAGATGAGAGCAGGGAAAGGTCACGCAGAACAAAAACACTCCCTTCTGCCAGCTGAGGTCCAGGGGAAGAGGTGATTGTTGCAAGATTAAAATGGGCAGAATGCGAAGGTACAGGGAAAAGGCCTAGAGATAATGGAAGGGCTTAACCAAACACTTGGAGTGCAAGAAAGGCAGCAGTGAGCTTGGCTGTGGGCTGATGAAGGAACAAGCAATTTGACAGCAGACATCGTGGGTCAAGTGGCTCTAAGAGAGCCAGGCTTTAGAGAGATAGACTCCCTAGTCTGGCAGGCATGCTACTTAGTCCTAGCAGGCTTTTAAGAGCTGAGCAAACCGCTGTTTTCGATGGCAGATACTTGAGAGGAAAGTAAAGTATTCTGTAGCAAAGAATTGTCAATAACATTTCAAAAAATAAAAATAAAAAGAGGTGGATGGTTAGATATCGGGAGCAAGACAGCCACTATTTCTATAATGTTAGCATCTGGTAGGAGACTTTTATAGGCCATTTCCCACAATAGCAGACTTGCCATGATGTAGAATGCTGCACACAGTAAAGATGAAGTTATCGGGACCAGTATCAAATGAAAAAAATGCTTGGTGCTTAGCCAAGGGTAAAGGACAATGCGAGTAGGGGAGAGACAGAAGGTACAGAGCTGTGGCCACATAGAGATTTGCTCTCCGACGTCACCTTCCTTTCTTTCCAAAGCCCAGGGAAGAGCTGAAGTAACACAATGCAGCGTTTTTATTATACAAGAACAAAGGTACCATATTGCCACATCATTTGATTTGATTCAAAAGATCTGTATACAATATCCCTATTTGTATATATTGCTTCAACTTTATGATTAACATTATGTATTCTGCAGGCCAAACAATTCCAGCCTGCATGTTGAAACCGGCCCATGGGTCACCATTTTGTACAAACCTGGATTTTCACCTCAAGTCTGCACAGCAACTCTTGAGTTCCTGATGAGCTGAGGGATGAGACAGAGGGGATTGCCACTTCAGGAAAAGAAGCCAGGAGAGTTCAAGAAGAAGTAGTTTGCAAAGATGCAAACACAATTTAAGCAGGGCCCAATTTTATTCTTCATGGGTAGCGCTACCCTGGCAGTTACTGAAGGCATGTACCTGGACTTACAAAATGGAATAGTGGGTCAAAAATTAAAAATAAAAACTAGGGGGATTTGATAATACTGATGGTCTGGCTGGATGATGAATTTTAGCCCATGAGGATTTTTGCTTTAAGGTTTGGAAGGTGTAGAGTAATAGCTATCATTTGTTGAGAATTTACTGTGTGCCAGAGGCCATCCACTGTATCTAATGTCTAATATTTCTAGCAGCCTATTTTACAAATACCGAAGAATTGTGCAGAGGGATTAAGACCCACAGCACCCATGCCCCTAGGCCTTTACTTAGGCTCTTTTCTTGTGATTGAAAATGTTTCTAGAACTTTTTTTTTGCCAAGATAGTCATGGTAACATTTATAGTATTTAGAAACTAAGAAGTGGCCAGGTAATTCTACTCCTTGGGATATACACAGGAAATAAACCTTATGTTCACATGTAAGCTTGTGCACAAATGTTCATATCAGCATTATTCATAACAGCCCCAAATTTGATGGGTGTGTAAAATAAGCTTTTATATCATTTGACAAAAAAATAAACAAAAGAGTAAGGTGTAGTGGTAGTACATGCCTGTAATCCCAACCACCCTAGAGGCAGAGGTAAGAGAACCTCAAGACCAAAACCACCCCAGGTAAAGTTAGTGAGTCCCTATATCATAAACAAAATGCAAACTGGGAATATGGCTCAAGTGGTATAGAGTGTTTATCTAGGCAGCACAAGGCCCTGGATTCAATCCTCAGTACTGAAAATTAATTACAATAAAGGGACTGGAGATGGACTTCAGTGCTAGAGCATGCTTAACATATGTTAGATCCTGCACCAAAAGACAAACAATTAATACAAAGAACTGACTGCTACAACATGGATGAATGTTGAAAACATTTGCTCAGTGGAAGAAGCCAGTCACAACAGTGTCACGTACTGTTGCAATTCCATGAACTGTCCAGCACAGGAAAGTCTATAGAGATAGAAAATAGACTAGAGGTACCTAAGGGCATTTAGGAAATCAGAAGTATCTGTGTTAAACCTAAATTGCATAAGGTTTCTAAAGATGTTCTCAAATAGATTGCATTGATAGCTGTATAGCTCTGTGAAAAATACTAAAACCATTGGACTATACTCTTAACTCAGCAAAAATATATATCAACTCTATCTCAAGAAAACTATTATCAACAATGACATAAGGAAATACTGGTTTTCAAATATGAGTTGTCTTTTATGAAGCAAATAAAGAAAATAATGAAAAACTGACATTGACTTTATATTTTAGCTTGCTCACCCACCCAAACCAAGGCCAAATCCTTAGGCTTGATACCTTTCATATAGACTTAGGCTCTGCTTCAGTACTTAGATAGGCAAGTGGAAAGACTCACAGGGCCTGGAGTGGAGCTGGAAGAAGCAATGGATGGCAGGGATCACATAAGTACTTTACATGTGGAATCTCATGCTTTTGTGCAGCCTATGCAGAAGGCATTATTGTCATTCTCAATGGACAGATGAGGAAATACAGATTAAGACTGCATCATTTACTAAAGAGTGAAGCAAGCCTGTTTGGGGCAAAACCATGTGCAAACCCATGGGCAGGACTTCTCATGACAAGCTACTAGAGGTCAGAGGGTCCCTAACAATGGACCACACATTCTCATTCAGTCTTACTACCAATTGCAATACTCATATTGATTATGTGGCAATTGCCACATATGAGTCTCACATTCTCTTGTATCAACTGCAAATTGGAACTGACTTTCTG